CATTCTTGGCGGTACGCAATCACACGCTATGACAGCGCGCGAGCATGGCTAGTTTGGTTTGATTTTGTGTCTCATTCTTTTCTTCATTTCCTCCCCCCCTCCAAGACAGATCCCTTCCTCCGCGCCTACTTCTCAGTGTACGACAAGTCTACCACTCCTCCTCGTGTCGGTCTGGCTCCTTCTCGCCACCCTTAAACCGAAAGGCGCACGTCGCTGTCCTAGCGCCGCCCGGTCGATGCCGCATTGATTTTGACACAGGTTGGGTTGTTTTGGCGACTTGGTTGTCGTCGATGTCGCAAGATGTGCATGGAAATAAAAGCCCGGAACAACACGCCTCCACTGATGCACCACAATAGTGTGTGTTGATTGCGCTTGTTTTGAATGCCACTTGGCCAGCTGTGTTTGTACCAAAAACCTGAACCGCAGAGGACACGGCTACAAAATCAATCATGCGAACAAGATGGTGAACGAGCTCGTCGAGATTGATGGACAAAGTTTCGACCTGGAGTCGACTGTCGAGGGTATCGGGCGAGGTTCACCCGTCCACGAATCCCTCAGTGCCTATGGTTGAATCTCTGATGTATTCATATCATTGTAATGAACCTGTCCAGAAGGAGTCGGAAGGAAAGTCGATCAGGGGGGTCAGAGTGAGAATTTTACTGCTCCTTTGCCTCTCTCAGGCCTCTCCCCGTCGCCTCTCTGACCACAACGCACGACCATAGATTGATACATGTTTTTGTACGACATGTACCGACAAAGTTAGGCCCAAATCAGTGTTTGTTTGTTGATTTCCTGCCACCTGTGATATGGTGGAGGATCGTCGCCAATCGCTCTGGCGGCCGTACCCCGTCGCACGGCTGCCGCAGCTCACGGCACACATTGTCGAGGACCACCCCACGCCCGGATGCGCGACTGTCACGCTCACGTCGTCGGACGAGGCCGCCGTGCCGTCAAGCTCGTTTGTCGCTGACTTTGCGACGCTGGCCAAGTGCGAACGCGGCCGCAAGTGCCTCGCTTCCATCCAAACAATGCTGCTCGAGAACCAGCCAGCGCACCTGCAGCTGCTGTTCCGCGTCATGGCAGACAGCCCGCACAAGACCAGCTACGCCGCCTGGGTCGCGACGGGCGAGGCCATCCTTGCAGACATGGACGCTGCATCTGCCGCATCTGCCTCTTCCTCGACCACAACCACGGCTCAAGAGACACAGGCTCAAGGGACACAGGCTCAAGGGACGCAGCCGCTCCCTCAACTCGACACGCCATCGCCGGCAGTTGTGGCCGCGAGCCTCGCCACTCCGACGACCGAGCTGCTCGCAGCATCGCCCACATCGTGGTATCCACACAGCCGCACGCTCATTCGTGTCAAGAGACCCGGAGAGTTTCTCCTGAGCAAGAATCATGGTAATTGGGACGACGGCATCGAACGCTCGTACGCTGACCTGGCATTGATGGCCTTGCGCGTGCTCGCCTACTACTGGCACGCCGGCCGCTTACCATTCGATCGCTACCTCATCCAGACTGCGGATGTTCCTACTCAAATGATGCTCTTGGGGCGCGATGTCGCCCCGAAGCAGATGCTCGCTGAGATTGTCGAAGGCCTCAACCAGCTCGGTCTGCCCTTGGACGAAGGCATGATCGACGGCACAAACGAAGCGCATGATGCGTACGCTCTGCCGCATTTGCGCCTCTACCCGCGATTCGACTGGGACGAGTGGCAGACATACCAGCTGACCTGCCCCCTTCTCGTCCGGCACCTCTTCCTGGCTGTCTGGCACGGTGACATCCCCAGCCTGAGACAGAAGCTCGGCGAGCTGTCGACATTTGTTGACAGCGGCGCTCCGCTGCGCCAGGCGCTGCCGAACCTCCCCTTTCAGTCAAAGAGCGACATCCCGGCTGCGGAAGTGTTGAGCATTATCGTCCAGCGAGTGTGTTTTGATGACACGCCACTCGATGAGCGCTCAAGGAGGTGGTGGTATTATCTGCCCAGGAGCAAGACTGACGCTGACCGCACGCTCGCCTCTGTGCTGACCGGCGAGCTACTCACGAGTTGCATTTCGCGCTGCCAAAGCCATGTCACGCTCCTGCATCTCGCGGTGCTGCGGCGCCATGCTGATGTGATCCGCATCCTGGTGACGGAGTGCGGCATGCCCGTCGAGCTCGGCCTTTGGGCCGCAGTGCGGTATGGCCTCGTCGACATGGCCCGGCTGATGGTGGAACTTGGGGCGACACCGACCCGTTTTCTTCTTGATGGGGTCGTTCGCAACCTCGACTGCGACATGCTCCGCTTCCTTGTCGCGGCTGGCGGCGTCGTCACGGCCCGGGAGCTCACCGTGTACACCCTTGAGCACGACATCCCACGCGCTGACTTCCTTCAGGCGTTGCTTGAGCTCGGCGCGCCCATCGACGCTCAGGTGCCGGCTCGGTACTATAATCCGACTTCTGGACAAAGTACAAGACCACATCTCGTCGATCTGCTGCCTCGCCTGGCAGCCAAGAGCACGCGCATCGTCCCGCTGCTGCTGTCATACGGGGTGCGGAGAGGAGCACGAGCTGCACTGCAACACGCTCTCCTCGCACGCGATCTGGAGGTCTTCCGACTGCTGCTGCAATCCATCCCCGTATCCGAGCTCGATATGCATCTGTGGGTCGAGTTAATTCCCCGGAGGCTGCCCGAGGCATCCAGGCCAATCTCGCCGGGTGAGACAACCCGTTTCATACTCGCGGTCGTCGAGTCCGGGCTGCCACTGCCCAGCGCCCTTCTCGCTGCCGACGGAACCGAGTTTGACTTGTTCGCCAACCGCGAATCGAACGACCTTGCTGGACTCTCGGATGCCGAGAACAGCATCTACCGAAGTGCGCAGTTTGCTGCGGGTTTCGTTGCCCGCAGCGAGGACCCTGCGGCCATTCGCATGCTCATTGACCACGGCAATGGCGCACCCTGGCTTCTGTTGCTTTGTGCGTCTGTTCGGCTTGAGCGCCCCGATCAGTTTGTCTGCCAAAACGTTGAGCTGCTTATTTACGCCCTGTCGCGACTGGAGCACGATGCGGCTGCGCTTGTGAGCGAGTTGTGTTTGCTCGAAACAGCTTGCGAGTTACGTTCGGCCAGTTGTGTTCTCCTTTTGCGGCTACTTGGCATTCCAGTCAACTATAGCCGAGAAGAATTACTTGCTCGGTTTCGCGCTGCGGTCGCGCGCCAGCGCCGTCGTGACATGAAGTGCGGCGTGCCCGAACGTCCAGTGACGGAAATGCTGATGGAGCCTTGGGCGCAAGTCTGGATTGCCATGCGTGAGTGCTGATGAGTGAGCATGCCGCTGGTTGATATGGCTGTGGTGGAGGCTGTTTGCTTGCTGACAAACGAGGGCTGCTTTGCTGTTTTTTTTTTGGCAGTCACTCCCCCCAAGATGTCGCTGTTGAATAGTGCTCGTCGGGCGCTCTTTCGAGCGCCGCAGCCGTTGCGCCGGTTTCTGTATGATGACGCTCAGCATACGTTCGGCGATTTGTACGAGCCGATTCCGCCGTCGTCGGAACTACTCGCTGAGGCACGCGTGGATGTATGAGGTGCGCCTTTTGGGTTCTTGTATTTGTATGAGCGTTTTGCTTGGAAAATCATTGTGTTAGCACATTTGTTTTCAAGAAACGACAACGCAGCAACATCTCAGCAAATGTGAAATTGAAAAACAAAATTAAAAAACGCACCATACAAATACATGAGAGACAGACAGACAGAGAGAGAGAGAGAGAGAGAGAAAGAGAGAGAGAGAGAGAGAGAGAGAGAGAGAGAGAGAGAGAGAGAGAGAGAGAGAGAGAGAGAGAGAGAGAGAGAGAGAGAGAGAGAGAGATATACTGTTATGTGGTGTCCATGGGTGCAGTGCTGGCAGAGTTGGCATCATCGTTTGGCTTCCTTTGTTTGCACTCGTCATCTTCCCATTGGCAGCTTTGAACGCATTCCGTTGCGACAAACAACTTGCGCTTGTCGGATTGGGAAATCTTTTGGAGATGCTCCAGATGGTTTCTTGCGGTGGTGTCTGCGGTCGGGCCTAGATTCGTTAAACCAGCCTTGAGATGACTCGTGAATGCGGTCCAGAGCTGTGGTTCGTCTTCGGCATCGCACACCGCTTTGTCCAAACCCCTGCAGTCGCACTCGCACTTCTGCGGACCTTTTCGATCCTTGAGATCGCCAACAAAGTCCTGGTGATTGCCGTTTCTTGGTCCCTCTTTCCTTTTTCTTTTTTGCTCCTTGACCGCGGCACTCAAGATTGAGTCGCCCGCGCCTCCGTTGCCGTCGTTTTCGTCGCCGTGTGTTCTCGTTCTTTTCGGGTTGTGTGGGTCTGGATCGGTTTTCCGCTTTTGTGCCACTCTCGCAGGTTGCGATGCAGACACCTCAACATGATCCTCGCATCGGAGTGGGAAGCGACAGAAGGCGCTGAATCCTTGTCGTTGGTATTGGAGAACGTCGCCCCACTTGCATTTGCAGCCAGGGCCGATGGAAAACAAAGCCAATTTCTCGCCGTTTTTTCGCTCGTTGACTTGACCCTTACTGTCGATAGAGCTGCCGGCACATCCAGGCTGTGAGGCCGGTGACTCTTCGTCGGCTTTGTCGGCTTTAGACCGAAGCTCCCGGTCTGACGGGGGCTTGGAGTCGAGCTGGTCTGGTAAATTCCAAAGTTGCTCACTGGCCAGTTCGAGCTCGAACAGCATGTCTCGCTCCTCTCTCCTAAAGCAGATTGATGTGTCGTCAAGAGCGTTCTCGAACACTGTCTGAAGCTCCTCCGCATCGCCCGGGTTTGTGGAACCGCAGTTGCGGAAAAGGTCGGAAGCTTGTTGAGCTTGTGGGGTAGCTTGTTGAGCTTGTGGGGTAGCTTGTGGGGGGCCCTGCAGCGTTTGCAGCAACTCGTCAACACTGCCAACCTTGATGACGGCCGAATATTTGTCGGTGCGCTTCTTTGGTTCCAGTGATTGGTTTTCGCCCCAAAAGGCAAAGGTGCCCACGTTTGGGACGCAAACGGCCGTCCAAAACCAGCCAGGGATAGCGACCTCTTTGTTTTTCGGTAAAACATCTGGGGCTTTCGTGAGTGCCACGCCCGTCATGACAAACGCCTCGTTAGCGGGCTGTCTGGGCGATGGGGGCGCTGCCGGCTGTGGGGTAGCTGCGGCAGCCGTCTGTACTGGCCGGGCCGCGAGGTACAGCGCTGCCCGGAGCGCGCACTCTGCGCGCGACCAATAGACTCGATTGAATCGCTCGTATTGCGGCGCCACGTTGACGAGCGCGAAGGTCGCGTAGGCATTGGCAAAATCCTCGTCTACGCCCGGTTTAGCTGAGACATAGCTGTTGATCGAGTTCGGGTTGAGGTGCCCACGGTCAAATTCGCTGTTTTTAAAGTCCCGATTCTTGGCGGTTCCGACGTCCTGCTTTAGTAGTTTTTCTGAATGAATGTCGACGAGGCCAGCAGCCAGTGGCGAGCCGTCGGGCAGGAGGATCAATTCTGATTGATGAGTAGAGAAACAACGCGAAATGAATTTAGAGGGAGATGGAGAAGTCAATCAAACGAACATCGTTCCAGAGCGTACTCACCACCGGAATGAAGAAAATTGGTCGGGTCTGGACGAGCATGCCGATGGCCGTTCTCCAATGATTTAAAGCTTTGCGATTTGCCAGGTTTCTCGAGCGGAATGCGGTAGGCGGAGAAGACGGGCATCTTCATGGCCTTGTCATAGAGGGTCAGGTAAGCCGGTTGAGCTTCGGGCAGACTCAGAGTGTGTGCTGTGCTCGTTGTGTCCTTGAACACGTACGCCGTTCGGTCTTGGTCTGCCTTCGAATCCGACTGAATTTTTTGCTGAGCGGCGGGGAGTGCAGTGCTGTTGAGAAGCGTCACACAAATCGGCACGAGTCGGGACGGGTCGAAAGTCGGAGAGACACCGGTCTGTGAGCCGCTGGCCTGTGAGCCGCTGGCTTGTGGCATGGAATAAAATGCTATCTGCTTTTCGATGTGCCTGTAGAACCAGGCGGCTGCCGGCGGCGTCGCAGACTGCAAAAGGGCTTCCTTTGGATTTTCGGTTTCTGCTTGCATCAGCATCATCTGCTCGCTGAAGTGCTGCCTGAGCATTCCCTCCTGGTTTCGCGATAACGGGGCAGGCGGCGCAGGTTGTGCAGGCGGCGGAAATCGAGCAGCGCAACCAGCTTTCAACATCTGATACCAAGATTCGACGAAAGTCTTCAACTCGGTCTGGTCCCAAAAGGTCACGGAGCCACAAATATAACTTTGGTCATCCTCCTCGGTGCATGGGTTTGTCTCGACCAACTCTAGAATATCCGGGGGACCGACTGACTGAACAATCAAGCAGAGTTCTTGCTCGGCGTCATTCTGCCCGTGGATGAAATCACGACAAACGTAGTACGCACTGAGAAAAAGAGAATTTTTGTCGATAGTGCGCCGACTCCTCAAGCTCGTCGCGTTGCGTTTCGGGTCGATACAAACTAACGCGTCGCCGACAGAGCACACATCGACTGCGTCACTCCGTGCGTCCAGATTTGCGTCGCGTCGAGCGGTGCCGCCAGCCACGGACTCGACAGCCTCATTGGCCAGGTCGTTCGGGGGATCAACCGCTCGCGAAAGTAAGCGCTGAAGCTCGTCGTCGCAGCCGTCCCAATCGCTCAAGCCGCTGATCAGCGCCTGGCAGTTTTTTGCCGGGTCGGTGCACTGCCACCTGTGCCACATGCGCTGCAGCTCGCGGCCAGAAATGTGCAGCAGTCTGCGCTTGCGCTCCGTGCTCACGAGCGAGAACAAACACATGCTCGGGTTGCAGCGGGTGAACTGAGGCTTCGTGTCGCTGACGACGTTCAGCCACGTATCGCGACAGTACGCGCGCATGCCGTGCACGTCTTCGACAACTCGCAGGTACAGGCTCTTGCCGTTGCCTTCGTGCTGCTCGATCAGTGCGCGCGACAGCTGGACTACAACCACGACAGACCTGAGGCCACCGGCGCGCCACGACTTGACAGCTTTTATCGGGGCGTCAGCTGCTGGTGGCTCGTACTGATCGTGCTCCTCAGGGCGGTTGAGGAACTCGGGCGTCGGCGAGCACGATGCGACGTTCAAAAATCCGCTCGGCTCGACGCGGCAGAACAGCCTCCCAACGACGACGTTTGTGTCTGAGCCAGCGGGCAGTGGCCGGCGACTGCGCGCGGCCAGCTTGCCTTTGACCTTGTCGTCAGCCTCGGTGTCGTCAGCCTCGGTGTCGTCAGCCTCTTTGTCGTCAGCCTCTTTGTCGTCAGCCGTGCTCGCATCGCCGGCCATATCCATGCTGTTGGGGTCTTCGTTAGGCGAACCAACAAGTACCTGGATGGTGACTGCCAGGCAGGACGCCTCGAGATGGGTTGTGGCCGTCCAGCGGATGAACACGAAACGCGACCCGTCGGGTTCTGCCAGCGAGTTGGACTGACACTGCAACAAGCGCGAATTCGCCGTGCCAAACGTGGAGAGATGCGTTTGCGAGTCGGCAAGCAGCTTCAGCCCCTGACGCAGCTCGTTCGCAAGGTCGCGAGCATTCTCGTGCGGCTCGTCTTCAGCCTCACGCTTGTTGAGCTTCTTGCGTGGCTCGGCCATTTTGCGCTGCAGGCGTTCGGTGTCAAGGTCTTGCATTGCATCGGAGATGGCCGGCGCGATGGGTGGAAGTTCACCATTGCCCTCGCCAATTCGCCGACGAAGCGACTCGTTCTCAGACGCCACGATGCTCGGCACCATTTCGGTGAAGCGACCCTCGTCCACGGCAACGACAAACGCCTCGGGGAGCGACGCACAAAGGGCGCTGCCGCTCAGCATTGTGTCGTTTGTGAAGAACAAGTCGCCGACGCAGACGAGTTTGGCCGCCCAGCCAGCACCGACGAGCGCCGTAACAGGGCCCGGACTGTGCCACACGTTGCGCCGCAGCATCGCCTCCAACGCCACCACTCCTGCCGCCGACGCACCTACATGTGCCGGCGCAAACTGCAGTTCGGTGGGAAAGCCCCGATTCTTCGCCAGCGCCCGCCACACGCCACTCCCAAGCGCCACAGGGGAGGGGCTGCGTGGTGGTACGTGTGAGCCGGCAACTTCCATAGTGAGCAAGCAATCTGCACCAGCACCGGCAATGGTTCTAGGGGCGCGGAGGCAGCGCGCACACGCATCGGCCGCGGCGGCCAGAAAAATACCGCCGGGTGCGATCGGTGGCGCAGGGCCAGCGGTGGCAAACATGCGCTGCGCAAAGGCATGAAGGGATGGCGGCGCACCGTGCAGCAGCTCGAGCGCTGGCACGAACGGGTTGGTCGTGAGCGCCATTTGAACGATCGCGTCAATGCCCGTGCTCGTGTTGAGTGAGATGCAGAGGATGGCGCTCAGGGACGTGTCCTCCGGGTCAAACCAGAGGCGAGACGGGATCTCGGGCGCCAGCGTGCTCGTGCGCATGTCGACCGGCAGCAGCCGCGGGATGGTCGTCGTAATGACAAAGCCGTTCGTGTCCGCGGCACTGTCCTCACTGTGCTCGACCGCGAGCAGGGCCGACAGGAAGGGCTGATTTGAGGTGCGTGCGAGATTGAGGCCGATCGGGTCAAGCGGCGGCGCGTGCGGCACAAACACGTTCTCCGTCGGATCGAACGTGGTGAAACCGTACAGGTCATGCTCGTTGGTCCAAACGACGTGCTGGTGCGTCGGGAAGCGTTGGCGCGAGCGTCCATCACGTTGCGCAGCGTTGGCGCAAGCGCAGTATCGGCGCCGAGGTCGTGCGCAAACACTGCCTGCGGTGGCACGAGGCGCACCGTGTTGGTGTGGATGTTGATCGAGTCGAAAAAGTAGTACGGCTCGACGGCACTGGAGCGAAAGTAGAGCCAAAAGTCAACGTCCTCGTTTTTGTGGTTGCGGCAATGCAGGCGAGGGATGGTGGTGCTGCTGCTGGCTTCAGCAATGCTCGCCACAAACATGGCAGCGCAGATTAGCAGCAAGCCAAACAGCTGCAGCGGCAGTCGGTCGTGTCTCGGCATTCGAGGCAGATGATGATGATGATGAGTGCGAGTAAACAAACGCATGGCAATGGAAAGAGTGCAACAGAAGGAATTTGCTGGTTTATTGACACAAGGACAAAAAAAAAAACAAAAAAAAAAGCAAAAAAACAAAAAAAGCAAAAAAAAAAAAAAAAAAAAACGCCAAGCGTTGAGCGTTGTTTGGCCTGTTTCGTTTCCGCTCTTTCGTCTTCGTGTTCTTGTACTGATTAGGATTCAGAGGAAGATGAGTGCATGCGTGCACACGCATGAGTGGGAAGAGTGCAAGTGTTTTGTGGTCTTATCACGATTGGTTTTTTTTTTCCGAGTGTTTGGGGTGGGTTTTTTTTGTGGGTTTTTTTGCTTTTTGCTTTTCGCCATTCTTTCTTTCGTCGTCTTTTGTCTGCTTTCGTCTTCTTCCGTCTTCTTTCATCTTCTTTCATCTCCTTTCGCCTTCTTTTTCTGATTCCACCTCGAAGAAGATGAGTGCTTGCAAGCACACTCGTGGAAAGAGTGCACCAAATGTCATTTTTTGTTGGTTTATTTTTTTAATTTTTTATTTTATTTTTTGGTTTGTGTTCCTCTGCCGCTTCTTCTGACTCTCAATCGCTCGCCTCTCGCGCTCGGTTCCGCCTTGAGATGACCACACACGCATACAAGTGCCTTGTGTGCTGCTGCTCGTGGAGCGACAACGCTCGTCATTATCTTATCGTTTTGAAAAAACCGTTCCACATTTGAAATTCAGCTCAGTCCTTTACTTTTCTTCTTTTTTTTTTTCTTGTCCTCGCTTGGATCTCTGGTCGCTTTTGGGTATTCTTTTCGAGCCACACTCTGTTGCCTTGTCTGTACGTGAAATCCTGTGACTGGCGCGTGCTGATGCAGAGCGGATTGCCTCATGGCTTTGATCGTTTGTTTGATCTTGTTTTTTTTTTTTTGCATTTTTTGCATTTTTTTTTAAAGGTGTGCTTTTTCATTCAACCACAAACATGAGGCGAGCCACGCGGTCACCCGTTTGGTGGCTGTTGAGCCTGCTGGTCGTCGCCCGTGTTTCCTCTGGGCAACACGACGCATGCGACTTTTGCGCATGCGAGGGATTGCCCGTCACCAGAATCACGAATTGTAGTCCAAGTCTCGAGAACGTCCCCACCTGGATTCCACCCTCGGCGGAAGAAATGTAATCGTACCAAAAAAAAACAAACAAACAAAAAAAAAACCAAAAAAAAAAACCAAAAAAAAAAAAAAAACAGGAAAAACGTTGTCGATTCCAGCTCAACTCGATCATTCCTGACTGACAGGGTCGTCGTGAACACGGCTATTGGGTTTCTTCTACCCTATGCATTCGTTGGTCTTTCTTCAATGACCGTGCTGTAAGCCCGAGATTTTGATTTGACATGTTTGTTCGCGATCTGATTTTGTTTTGTTCACTGTTTTTTTTTTTTTTTTTTTTTTGGTTTGTTTGGTTTTAGCGGCTTACAACTCAACCAGATTTCAGTCATCCCCGCCCATGCGTTCTCCGGCCTTGACGCCTTGAAAATCTTGTAAGCGATCGTTGCCTCCTTGCCAAACTGTGGATCAATCTGTCGCCCACTTTACAACTTTACAGGGACCTGCACGGCAACGGCATTTCCGACCTGTCCGCGACTGCGTTTACAGGCCTTTCAGCGCTGACATTTCTGTACGATCACATCATTGCTCGTCTTGACGATGTTTTGACGATGAGGCCTGCACCACTGAGAGCCGCTCACTTTGCTCCTGCCATTCAGCGATTTGTCTTCTACCGGTCTCACGCGGGTTCCGCGCGGAATGTTGGCTGGCCTCAATTCTCTGCAGATTTTGTATGCTAGCTGTCTCGCTGAGTTACCAACATTTCGTGACGGCTAACAATGCTGACTCTCTCGTCTTGTCAACAGGGACTTGTCCAACAATCTCCTTTCCAACTTGCCTCCTGGGTTGTTCCGGGATTTGTCCGTACTTGCGCAAGTGAATTTGCAAGGGAACTTGTTCTTTGAAAACGCAACTGCCCCTCCCGGCACCTACAGATCCGAAGCAGGCAGCTTGTATAGTAAGGCATGCATGACGTTGCTGTGTTTAGGACTGTTTGTCAATGTTAACTGTTTGTCACAATTTTTGCCTCTTAGAGTGTAGCACGAGGTGTGACACTTGCTACGGAGCGGGCCCAGATGCATGCTGCGCCACGTACTGCCTCTCATGCAACTCGACCAATTGCACATCGTGCTATGTTGGTTCTGTCATGGTGGACGGTGTTTGTCGCCCACCGGCACCTCTTCAAATCATTGCTACCAGCTTCCCCGCCACAGCTTTTTGGAACACTGACATTCAAGGAGTCATTACCCTCCACAATTATGGGAATACCTCGTTGGACAACGTCAAGTTGGGAATGTGGCACGGGTACGGTCTGCAGCTGAACCTATATCAAGAGCCTGCACCCTACCTATTGCAAGCTCAAGTTCAACAAGAGATAACTAGACTTGCATCGTCGCTTGACAATAAAATCGACGACATCGGACAAGTTTCCCTTGCTGCAGGTCAAACTCTTGCATTCCCTGTCAAATTCAATCTTCAAGGTCGCGAGTTGTTGCCCCTGATCTTTTTCGCTCTTTTCGACTCTTGGTCTCTGCTCGTTCAAGATACCAGCGACTCTGTCGGTGTGATTCGGCTCATTAGTCGTGAGTGATTTGTTTTGTTTTGTTCTTTGTTTGTTCTGTTGTTGGTCGTTTCTTGCCGAGTTTGAATTGCTGACGCGTTTCCTTTACGTTTCTCTTTGCAACGCTATTCTTGTTGGCCAATCAGCGCAAGAAACCAACATTGCCGTTTCTCCAATCGCCAATGATGCTGAGCTTGTTTGTGGCTGCACACTGGCGATCAACGAGATGCCTGAACTCATGCTTCGGCGGCCGCTGGCAAAGCACCTTGTCCCCCTCGACACGAACGCCGTTATGGATCGTTTTCAGCTTTGCGCTCTTGCTACGGGCGGTCGAGTTACACTGCTGAATGTCACCACGGGCTCCAACCGCGCGTCGTGCCAGGAATCGTGCTTCAACTCGCCAACCTGCTCCTCCTTCTTGACCAACGATCCTTACGCTGCAAACACGGATCGGAGCATCCCACCGCTGTGCATTTTGAGCGGGGCTGATCGATTCGACAAGCAGTACCGACCAATCAACGCACTTCGCCGTGACACGTACCTTCAAGTCGACGACGTTATTGCTGCCAACTCGAGCGCCAATCTGAACAACATCACGTCCTTTCGCACTTTCGACGCACGCTTCCCGGATCGACCGTCTGTTACCACGACGATTTTGGCAGGCCCTGGGAGGATTATCGCTCAACCTTTCGCTCCACATGCCGTTGAAGTCGTCTCTGGGTTTTACGTCGCCAGCACGACGGCTGATTTCCGGTTTGCGCTGTTGGTCAACCCCGCATTGCCTACCGTTGAATTGGAGTTTATCGAAGCCGAAGTTC